ATTGGATTTTTATTTCGAAATAGTAAGAAATAACTTTTTCAAGTACAAGAAATTAGAACCTAAACATAATGTCATAACATGATGGGACATTTCCTATTTAAATTGTTTACAGATTCAGAATTAATACATACTGCATGATGATTTTGTCTACTAAGAGAAGAGTTGTCAGCTTATAGTAGATAAAGACCCGAAATCCGTACTAGCATTATCAATCGTCTTTCCCGAGTCCAAGTCCTGAAATTCACACAGTTTAGAGTTAAATGTAGCTACGCAATTCAAGTCTTGTGATAGTTTGCTTATTGACAGGAGATTGCAATCCAAATTTAGAACGTATAGCACAGAGTACAAAATTAACTTGGGTGACAGTGCAATTGTTCATGTTCCTTCGACTTGAGAACTAGAGCCATCAGTAATTTTAACTGAGAATTTACCTCTGCACTTACTGTATTCCTTAAATAGTGAGATGTCCCCGGTCATATGATCGAAAGCACCCGAGTCAATAATCCACATTCCCCTTTTTGAGGAATAAGTTGAGAGACTAGAAAAATTACCTTTGTGAGCTGTGGAAGCATTACCGAGAATCATATTGGGAGAAAACATTTTCTAGAGGAGGTTGATCTGTTCATGACTAAATAGAGAGCTTTCGATAGGAACGGCTGCAGCTGATTCCTCCTCAATTGAGACAAAATTGCCCAGATGAGTCCCCTACTTTTTGGTGTCTTCTTATCAGCTGGCTTCCCGTGAAGCTTCCAGCATCTTCCACGAACGTGCCCAGGCATTTTACAATATTCACACTATGGTTGTCCCTTCCGCTCAGTCACCCGACTTGTGAGAGCTACACTAGCCTCGGGTGAGAGAGAACTGCTTTCAGCAAGGTTAGGCCTGAGTTGCGATTCACCCATCATCACCTTTTTCTTGCTTTCTTCGCATCGCACTTAGAGAACACCTCTCCCATGTTCGGGAGAGATTTGGTTCCAAGGATGCGTCCTCTTACCTAGTCGAGGTATTTGTTCAATCCAAAGAGGAATTTGGATATTCATTTCTGTTTCATGATGCTTCGGAATCTCCTGGCATCCTCGGTACAGCTTCAAACATGTTCCTCAAAAACGTCAAGCTGCTACTATTTTCGGGTAAGAAAATTGTAATATTGAGTTACCGTCTATTATCTTTGGTGCAGGTTATGAAGACTTGCTTCGACTTCGAAGATAACGAAAGTATTGTCACGAGTGGAATAGAACTCACGGGCTGCGACCCAGATAACGTGCGCAGTCTCATAAAGGAGAAAATTTTCTCAAATATCGGTAGTCACTGAGTTCACCAAGCAAGACATAACAAGATTATTCTCTACTTTCCCTATCCGAGTATTTGGATCATTCGCGGGAGGTGGTGAGAGCTCTCCAGTGAGGTATTCGTCCTGGCATTTCCCTCAAATGAACATTAACACTGAGGACGACCATTGAAGATAGTTACTGCTATTTAGTCGATGGCCAGTAACAAAAGGAGTCTGATTAGCGAGAGCATAGCTGTCAGGCACCGAAAGATAGGAACCCGAAATGACTTCAGGCAGAGAAGAAGTCTGTTCATCCATTGCCTATTGAACACCAAAGGGATGCTGAAGAATTTAGATCAAGTAGGCTCTGATACCATGAAGATTTTGAGAGTAGGAAAAACTCCTTTTTTCATCTTATTACATCAATGATTAGTGCCTCATTTTATAGGCAAAACAGAAAGGAAAAAATAAATTAACAACTTTCCCTAGTGGAACGAATAATCAGCAAATGACAGCTTGCATTCTATTATGGTGCCTGATTATCCAACAAAAAATAAAAAACAGAAAGCAGCAACAGTAATTGTAAATACAACTTATTTCTAATATTTCTACAAAATATATATATATATAGTAGCAAGGCTCCAAACAATTGAAAGACCATATTCTGTAATCAAGGCTACTTTTTTTTTAAAAAATAAAAGAAAAGTATTATTATGCACAAGATATCAAGGGGGTACCGCCCAAATACAAACTACTTACATATCAACTAAGAGTTTATGACAGCACCAAAGTCTCATATGTCTTTGATGTTATGACCCATCAAATAGATCCAAAAGTATAAACCCATCTATCTCTAATTGTGTAAAGTTAGTTTTTATACCCTCAAAAACTCTACCATTCCTTTCCTTCCACACAACCCAAAGAATTGTAATTGGAATAAGGAGCGATTGATGTTTTTTTTACAAATACCCACCCACGCCCACAACTTATTTCTCACACACCCAGTCATGACCCAATTTAACCCTAACAACCCAAAAATAGCGGTCCAAATGCTATAAGTCACTAGGCAAAATATATATATATATAGTAGCAAAGCTCCAAACAATTGAAAGACCATATTCTGTAATCAAGGCTACTTTTTTTTTTTAAATAAAAGAAAAGTATTATTATGCACAAGATATCAAGGGGGTACCGCCCAAATACAAACTACTTACATATCAACTAAGTAGTTTATGACAGCACCAAAGTCTCATATGTCTTTCATGTTATGACCCATCAAAATAGATCCAAAAGTATAAACCCATCTATCTCTAATTGTTGTAAAGTTAGTTTTTATACCCTCAAAAACTCTTCCATTCCTTTCCTTCCACACAACCCAAAGAATTGTAATTGGAATAAGGAGCGATTGATGTTTTTTTTTTACAAATACCCACCCACGCCCACAACTTATTTCTCACACACCCAGTCATGACCCAATTTAACCCTAACAACCCAAAAATAGCGGTCCAAATGCTATAAGTCACTAGGCAAAATATATATATATATAGTAGCAAGGCTCCAAACAATTGAAAGACCATATTCCGTAATCAATGCTACTTTTTTTTTTTAAATAAAAGAAGGTATTATCATGCACAAGATATCAAGGGGGTACCGCCCAAATACAAACTACTTACATATCAACTAAGTAGTTTATGACAGCACCAAAGTCTCATATGTCTTTGATGTTATGACCCATCAAAATAGATCCAAAAGTATAAACCCATCTATCTCTAATTGTTGTAAAGTTAGTTTTTATACCCTCAAAAACTCTACCATTCCTTTCCTTCCACACAACCCAAAGAATTGTAATTGGAATAAGGAGCGATTGATTTTTTTTTTTTACAAATACCCACCCACGCCCACAACTTATTTCTCACACACCCAGTCATGACCCAATTTAACCCTAACAACCCAAAAATAGCGGTCCAAATGCTATAAGTCACTAGGCAAAATATATATATATATAGTAGCAAGGCTCCAAACAATTGAAAGACCATATTCCGTAATCAATGCTACTTTTTTTTTTTAAATAAAAGAAGGTATTATCATGCACAAGATATCAAGGGGGTACCGCCCAAATACAAACTACTTACATATCAACTAAGTAGTTTATGACAGCACCAAAGTCTCATATGTCTTTGATGTTATGACCCATCAAAATAGATCCAAAAGTATAAACCCATCTATCTCTAATTGTTGTAAAGTTAGTTTTTATACCCTCAAAAACTCTACCATTCCTTTCCTTCCACACAACCCAAAGAATTGTAATTGGAATAAGGAGCGATTGATTTTTTTTTTTTACAAATACCCACCCACGCCCACAACTTATTTCTCACACACCCAGTCATGACCCAATTTAACCCTAACAACCCAAAAATAGCGGTCCAAATGCTATAAGTCACTAGGCAAAATAATAATAGGTGGTTGCACGTTTCTTCAGTAGCATGACATAAATAGCATCTATTGACCAGCACATTCCTCTTCCTTTTAAGCATATCCAAGGTCAAAATACATTCATTAGCAGCCTCCCATGCGAAAAAAGTAATTATGTAATCAGGGCTACAAGTGGGACAAATGATTCCAACAAAGTAAAAAGAATCCCAACTTTAATAATTCTCAATCATTGGGATTTCTTGGAAAAGAGAGGTTTCAATATATATGAGTACCTTCTAGATTCTGGAAAACACTACCTTCAAGCTATCTCAAAGCTTTGTTGCAATAAAACGCATCACATTTTAAACTATTCTGACAAAATTCTCACCTTGAAATTAAATATAAAAGCTGTATTGCTCTAAAATCTAGCACATCTTATACCTTATTCAGGGACTAATGAATATCACAGTGGCAATTAAAAAGGGAAATGACAAATTTTGCATTGTTTAAACTTAAAAGATCAAATTATGCAATTAGTGGCGTGCCAGATCACAGGGGTCCATGGCGGCGTTACTAACTTCCAGCAGCATCTCCATCTCCAATAGAAGGAAAGTAAAAGAGGCAATCAAATGCACTGCTGTTTTCTGTTGATTGCTTGCTTCACTGAAAAGACATACCCAAGATCATCAAAAGCCCATATGCAAACTGATACCTAGCCTCCTTGTCTTCCCCTCCTTAGGGAGAAAAGGCTGCCCTGTCTATCTACAGTTCCATTTCTTTTCCACCAAAATTACCAGAAGTGTCAAACTGGGTTCCATGTTCAGCCTCAAGCCTTAAGACCAAGATATATTTAGCACTATTTTTCTCATGTGCAAAGCTTGCTTCAAAATCTTGGATGTATTTTCTGAATCATTCCATATCAGACTCTTTCTACAGGTTATCGTGCATTTTAAAGTCGGTACCTTTGTCCCAATTAACAAAAATATGTTATTCAAAATTCCAATTCTTCTTCATTGACTCCAGTCTAGCTACTATGAAACTATCCGGAAATTCTCTATCATATAAATCCCACACCAACTTGCTCACTGAACACTCTTCCATTGACTAAAAATAGCTGTTAACACATTAAGATCTAAGCCTACTTTAAACCTAAAGTAGTCAAGAAAATAAATAAAACATCTACTTAGTATAAAGAAAATGACTATCAACAACCAGTTTTTCACTAGATTAAGAACTACAAGAACTTTTACAATATTCATTTCTAACTTCCCAAATATTAAGCAACCCAAACAAGTAAAATGGTGAAACAGTGAGGTACCTTGATAACCTCATCAAGCAACAAGACATGGGTAAAGGGGTCCCTTTTCTTCGACAACACCCGTTGCAAGTGCCAAACCGCGACCATGATAATATGCAACTGATCCATACAAGTTGTCATCCTCTGCCACAAAGCCTCCCTAGCTTTGGCCCCGCCACCAATCTGCGGTGTCCCACTACCCCGTATCCCCCCCGGCCCGAACCCACCACCGGCACCGGGACCGGAAGATATGGCCTTCATATCCAAGGCCACGCTCACGCTCTTCACCGCCATACCCTTGTACTTGTTAATCAATTGCTCCACCGTTCCGCCCAGCTCGCCGAGATTGTAGAAAACCTGCAATCCAGTGCCCACCTCGGCCTGATTCAACCCTTCCATTCCCCTTTCCAACACCTTCATCGCCTCCGTCCTCAGCCGATTCCCGATCTCCTTTACCCACTTGAGCTCCTCGTCAATGACTTCAACGCCGAGGAGATCGTACTCGTGGCACATGTTCAAGATCTCGAAATGGAGCTGGGCTGCCTTGGCAAGGTCAAGCTTATCGGGATCAGCGTCCGCAGCAACCATGAGATCACGTAGCTTCTTCGAGAGGCGGAGCGCGCGGATGGAGTGAGACAGGAGTTCAGACGCAGAATGAAGGTTGGACAGCTGGAGGGTCTTGGAGCGAATGGCATGGAGAGGGTCAGAGAGCTCGGATCGAACACGGCGGAGGGAGGATTGGAGAGAAGAGAGAGAAGATCGAAGGGATGAAAGGGAGAGCTCTGCGTGGGAAAGAGATGAGAGTTGGGAGAGAAGCTCTTGGTGGCGGGAGAGGACTTCCGAACGGAGCTGGGACTCGAGAAGGCGGATGGCCTGGTGGAGATGCTCGGCGGTGGAGGCTGGTGAGCCAGAGGAGAGGGCAGCGGAGGAGAAGGAGGTGGAGGAGAAAGAAGGGGAGAGGAAAGGAGAGAGAATTGGGTCGTTGGCAAAGGAATCTAATGCAGAAGCGGTGGTGGAAGGGGTGGTGGTGGGTGGTAGGGGAGAGGCAGAGGAGGAGTTTTTGAAAGTGGAGAGGCGTTGAAGAGGGGAGGAGGAGGATGGGGAGAGAGGGGATCTTTGTTGGAGAGTTGCTGGTGACGCCATTTTTGTTCTTCTAACTGCTGCGGGTTGCTCTTATTCCGGCGTTATGGATCTGCACAGTGGAGAAGAAAGGAGGAAGATGAACTGTACATTAACCACCATTAATACTCATCTGATGTCCTTCTGAAAGTCGAGACTTGAGCAATAGCCATTAGCGGACGGTTTATCTCGGTAAGCTTCATTTTATATCATGTTGTTTTATGCTTTTCTCTAGCCAATTAATATTATTTGATAAATTATTAATTTTTTTATTAAATTACAGAATATGATTCTATTTTATTTTTATTATAATTCAATCTCTAATTTAAAAAAATAAATAAAATCTAAGTTTTGATAAAAAAATTTTAAAGAAATAACAAAAATTATATTTATATTACTTAATTCTCACAAATAATAATTTTAAAATATAATTTTTATTTAGCAATAGAGGTTAAAAAATATTTAAAAAACAGTTATTGCATTTTTTTTCTTTATTATTATTTACATTACTTAGATAAATTAATTAATTTCTCTCTAAATTTATAATTAATTATTAATTTAAGCTATGAAATTAAATAAAATTTTCTTATAATTTGATCTTTAAATTTATAATTTTTTTAATCATAATTTCATATAACTATAAAAATTCTGACAAACATTCTTTCAAATTACACATATTTTATTTTTGGTAGAATTTAAAAGTTGTAATAACTAAAAATTAATTTTAAACAAATTTAATAAAGATAACTAATTTATTTTATTGAAGTAATATAAATAATAATAGAATGCATTATGGAGAAAAAAAAAAGGCATGAAATAATTATATTTTGAGATTTTTAAACTTCTAGTCTTAAATAAAAGGATTATATTTTTAAAGTTATTTTTTATATCATACAAATAAGGTAAAAATATTTTATTATTTTTTTAGAAAATTCGGATAAAAGTATGTATTTGTTTTGTGAGTATAGAGTTGTAACTAGAAAAAGTTCATTAAAGTTAATTTTTAGTGTGTAAATATAAATTTTAATTTACATATTTAAATTATTCTAAGTTAATAACATATTAAAACTACTCAAGTAGAATAAAATAAGTTACCTCATTGCAAGCCTTTGACCAAGCCAAGGCTTTGGGATGGCCGACTTTGAGCTTTAGAACAAAAGAGTTTGGGCTGAGTTTGGACATGGGTTTGAAACAAATAAATCTTGGGTTTAATGGTTTGGGATTGGATTCAAAAGGACTTGGTTAAAAGTAGGTTAAGATGTTGGTTTTTTCTTGAATTGGATCTCGTGTACAAACACTTGTAGAACATAAGACTTTTACCCCTACAACATACTTACTCTTCCATCGTATTATACTTGAAAGTATTGGTGAAAGCTTAATCATAGCAGTTATAAAAAGCACTAAAAAGATAATTAAGCAAACGATATCTGTAGTAATTATAATTTTCTCGTTCTTTATAATGTTCTCGCCTTTAGTTTTTCTTCGTAGTTCTTGGTATAGTTTTCGTTTTTTCTTTGATTTTTCAACTAAAATATAGGAGAACTTCATAAGAGTGAGGTAAACTTTTATCTCATCTTTTGTGGTTGGTATAAAAAAATAATAATGCTAAGGTGAATATATTGAAGTTGGGTTCGGGTATGTATTAGTGTTATTTATAACAATAACTATAGTATTATTACAAATAGTTGGGGAAAGATAAGATAAATTATTTTAAAAGTTATTCTATAAACAAATACAAATAATTTAAAAAAAAAACAATTTGATAATGGTATAGGTATATATTAGATTATTCTTTTTGAGAATATATGTTATTTCTCTGTGACTTGTGAAAAAAAAGTTTTGGCACACTATTTCTATAATACAATAAACTTAATTACCTATTTTAGACTTTATTAATTTACACAAATTAGTAAGTAAAAACTTTTCAACTAATACATTTTTTATATTTAAACATATAAGATTTTTAGAAAAAATTTTAGAAAAACATAAATAAAAATTAGAATTAAAGTAAAAATAAGATAAAAATAAAGAATAGAAGAGCTAACTATTTATATATTAATTAAGACGAGGTTATTGAATGAGAATAACCTAATAAAATAAAGATATTTCATATACTTCATTACTCATATTATTATGAATGATTATTTTGATTATTATAAAATTTTAAGAGTTTCATGCAAGCCTATAAATGCACTAGTTATATATGCACATATGGAATTTAAAGCTAAATAATCGTGAAAGTGATCATTAACGTGAAGGCATTTCATATACTCCATTACCCATATCAAGCTTTGTAATAATTCTTTCATTTATTACAATCAATCATTTTGACCATTATCAAAATGAATCTTGAACCAAAAAAAAAAAAAAAGTGAGTTAAATGAAAAATTGCAAGTCTATATGTATACTGTTTTTATATACGTATACGTGGAATCTAAAGCCAAATAATCATAAAAGTGATCATTAACACGAGGACATTCATACACCTCATTACCCATATTACCTTTTCTAACAATTATTCTATCTACTATAATAATCATTACCACCATAAAAAATGTTAAAAAATTTCATAAAACATCAAGTAAAATGTTGAAGAACAAAAATTTGATATCCCGATAATTAGTAAAGTAAAAAAGAAAAAATTGATAACAAAATAAATACAAATAAAATAAATTTTGAATACTGATTAAAATTTAAAATTAACATAAAAAATCGTAATGCACTAAAACATAAAATTTTAAAATACAATATTTGAGTACAGAAATTTTGTGGTGTTACATCAAGAATATATTAAACATATCTACAAGTTTCTTGCTTTATAGACATACAAGTAAAATTTAAAATTAAACAAATTTAATTAAGAAAAAGACCAAAAAGGTTAAGTCAAGAATGTAAAAAAAAAAAAAATTAATTTTTTAATGTAAAAGCAAGAAACTAAATTATAAATATTAGGATTTAAATTTACACATATAATAAAATTTGTAAGACTCTTACCTAATATAAAGAGTGACCATATAACTGAACAATCAATATAAAATAAAGTATATAATTTTTTTTTTATTTAAATTAATTGCCACGTAATTTATATATATACATGTTAGTATTTCTTTAAGAAGAAAGTACCAAAATTTTCTGTCAAATAACATGTGATGCACAACTTTTTTCATTCTTGGCATGTACATATGCATAGTGCATAGCATAATGCTGCATGTGATTCAACACGTGCCGACTAACTGCTGTAGAGGAAAACAAATTTTATTTAATTATTTATTAATTTATACGTATCTTTAAAGAGTTTTCTTTTTAAAAAAAGTCATCAACGCATTTTTTTCTGAATTAATCTTTAGGTTTGAGAATTCGACGGTTCACGACATTCGACAGAAGAGCGGTGAGCAGGTGCCAATGCGCGAGAAAAAACATACCCACCGCTCTAACCAAATATTAATTTTGGTTTTTGAATTATAAATAGAAAAATTAAAATAACATAGAACTGTTTTCTTTCAAAACTTTAAAAAAAAAAAAATTTAATTTACTATATTTGTTATATATTAATGAATTATTTAAAATATAATTCCAGAATTTAAAGCACATCCAGATTTCGAAATACTTGCATGACGTTAACGAGTTTGTGATGTGTGATCTTTAACAAATTGATAGAGGAGAAGGAAGAGAAGGAAAATTCAATGAAAACTTGATGGAACTTGAAAGAATTTCAATATTCGGATGGAAAAAAGTGAAGGAGAACTTTCAGAATTTGGAACAAAGCAAATTTACATTGCTAATAATTCGCAACAAACTGTATAAAGAATTGGATTAAGTGAAGAAAATCATTGAATGAATATCATTAACAAATAAAATCCAATACCAATAATCTGAAAATATAGACAATTTTTCCAGAATTTTTCGCTAATTTTTTTGTCCAAAAAAGTTTTAAAAGAATGAAGAAGACAGAGAGAATCCCTAACAAGTTGTGAACAGAAATTACTTCGTTAATGGAGAACGAGAAAGAAAGAGGAAGAGCAGGTAGAAATATCAGTCAATCTTAATAGAAACGCTTCTCTGTGAATGGGAGCCCATAGCATCGTACCTTGATCCCATCATCATCATCACCTTGAACTCCTCGAAATCGATTGTACCATCGCCGTCCTTGTCGACTCCACTAATCATCTTCCTGCAATCGGCGAGAGAGCACTCATCACCGAGGCTACGAAGGACCTCGTGCAGCTCCTCGGCGGTGATTGATCCATTGCCGTCGATGTCGTAAACAGAGAACGCGTCCTTGAGGTTCTCCAGGACCTCGTCGGAGTCCATGCCCTTTGTGTTGAGCTCCACGAACTCATTAAAATCAATGAAGCCATCACCGTCGGCGTCGACCTCTGTCACAACCTTCTGGAGCTCCTCCTCCGTGGCGACATGGCCGAGGCTAGCCATGATCGCTCCGAGTTCCGCCGCTGAGATCTTACCATCGCCGTTGGCGTCGAACTTCTTGAACACCTGTTCGAGCTCACGGATTTCCGTCTTACCGGAGTGGTTCTTGGTGAGGAAAGGAGATCCAGGCACAAAAGACGTGGTGGCGAGCGGTGGAGAGGCAGGCGCAGAGGTGGAGGACTGGTTGGATGATTTCTTCCGATTGAAAAGCGTTCCAAAACCCATAGCTCGTTGTACTGATTTTTGGTTTCCGTTGGTTAAGATTTGAAAATGAGAGGAGAGCGGAGGCTGTTTCCAGAGGAGACCGTACAATGGTTGAATGCGGAATTCGGAAATTTGATTAAGTTAAATACGGAGGAAGATGAAACGAACAGACTCCGTTTCCTTTTTGGATTCGTAAAAGTTGTTCAGAAACGGAAACTGAATGTTTGTTACAAACGCCGTGTAATTTCTAAATTTAGAACTTTTAAAAAAATTAATAATTCGAAATTATAGGTGATTTAGGAGGAAGTTTAGGCGTGATTTCACTTGCCATAATTTAGGGAAGTTATTATGTATTAATTATTTTTTAAAAACTATTAATTAAGTTTTCATTATTAGAGTAAATTTATAGCCTATAGTATTTTGAAAGACAACAGATGGAATGAGAGAATCTGCGTATTAAATTAGTTCACGAAGGCGACGCGTGGTCCCCATGCACCACAAAGTGCGACTAGGCCACTCATTCCCAAGTTTGGGTTAGCCCATCACGGACATCCATCCATGATCTCCTAGCCCAATATCTATTTTCTCAACGGATATTGGTTTCCTATTTTATGCTTTCTAAGAGTTCTAGTTTCCTATTCTAGATCATCAATGTCCTCCGTTTAATTATTTGCCAAAAAGAAGTTTGAGCGTCAATTTTCTGGTAATCCTTTGGTGAATATTCGTTAAGGGTTAAGAAGTAATCTTCTCTCTCTCTCTCTCTCTTTCTCTCTCTCTCACTACAAGTATCAAAATATCTCCTCCAAAATTTGGATGGAAGCAAGTTGTCATACAAGAAACACACACAGGAATCCAATGGTTAAGATGGACCATGAGAAAGATGAGCAATGAGCAAAATAATCTTGTTATAAACAGGAAGATTGCCGGAGTTTTAGCGGATATACATATGGAACCCGATTATACACAATATGATCTGCTTCTCAGCTAAGAAACACTAATTGATTCTTCCTTCCACCTTGGAAGATTCATTCTTTATGCTCTTACCCTGTCAAATTAATGTGATCACCCAACACTAAGAGACCATATGCAGTGATGTAAATTTGCAGGCTTTTCGCGTTTTGATAATGTCTACAAGCGCCAAGAGACAATCCTGTTTTCCTAGAATCCTGGTAGTTGACTCTTCAGTGTTAGAAGGATTTTCCTATTTATAAGGCATAGATTCTCTCAAGATCTGAATCATCATCTGATACATTAGCTGAGTAGACCGACCATGAGAAGGACTTGCTTCCACTTGCCCTTTTGATGCGTCTCTGAGAATCACTCTTGAAAGTCCCAAAATGTTGTCTGAAAACAAAGTAACACATGCTTGCAAGTGTCCCAACAAGAATTGGAGCTCCCATGAGGGTTATAGTGATCGCCATCCAAGAACGTTTTTTTCCCACAACCACGAAAGCAATTGACAAGAATGCACCAAAAGTGCAAGCGCAGGCAGCCCACATTAGCTTGTTAACTACTGATACAACCTGCTTCTGAGCCCTGGTATCCCAGGCCACCAAAGTTATCTGAACCACAACAACAGCCAGAGATATGAAGAGTGATGTAGTATTCAGAAGGCAAAATACACGAAAACCAACGCTTCCAGCTATATATGCTTTCCCTGAATCTGGTCCATCTGATAGATATTGGCCCGGTAAGTTGAATATAGCTAAGAAGGCTATTGAAGCGAAAAGAACAGCAACAACTGTGACAGAGTTGGTGGTGTTTTGAACAGCTTCTCTGTGAAGCTTCCTTAGTTCTTTGGCAATACCAGAAACTCTTCTATTGGTTTTTTCATTTTGTATAAGTTGGGAGTGAACCTCATGCTTAATATCACTCACAGTCCTCTTGAGCTCCATTGCCTCATCGATTTGGCCAACATGTCTAGCATGCTTGGCACCAGCATCTATTAGAGCTTCTTTGATTTCCAAAGAAGATTCTCCATATTGGAGTTTATCAGCCAAGTCCATTGCAGTTTCACGCTGATTATTGATGACATTGACATCAACAGACGTATAGCTTAGCAATAGGCTTACGATCTGAAAGACAAGAGAACAGAGTGTAAGAGGAACACCATTACACATAATTATCGAGATTTCTTTTAATATCTTGCATTATTTTCAGAAAAACTTCAAAAACAAGCAATTTTTACCCTCTGAAAAGACACGAGTAATTCTAATATGATCATATTCATCCATATTTACTCACGAATAGACTTCAGAAACTCAGTTCACACTTATACCATGCCAAAGGCAATTCCATGGTATTTTTTAATGTTCATTATATGCATAGTTTCAAGCTACCATGTTGGATCCCAAAGCGGGATTTCACAAGTTGAAATAGTCCCAATTGAATAACACTTTTTCTATAATGTTTCTATTTCATCAAATTAGTTACTATGCCTAAAAATTCCAGTGTGTTACCATTAAAAAACGAATGAGATAACTGTTTTACAAACCATACTTCTACTATGCAGGAAATACCAAAGGAAACAAGATGCAGAACCCAGACTCAAGCTGAAGTAGCCATCATGCATTTGCGCATACATGAAGTTCCTTTGCTTGTGTCCCAAGATGTCGAATACAAATCTTTATGTGAAATAATACTTATTTAACAAATTTGAAGTACTAGGATTTAGCAAAAATAAAGATGGAATTGATAGACAAAATGTTGAAGAAAATGGAAAGGGAGACTCATTGAAAAAGGAAATAAGTAAAAAAAAAATGACCACAGAGAAGTGAAAAATACCTGTGGACGACATTTCCTTGTCGTTATGTGAACTGCTGTGTTTCCTTTCTTGTCACGCTCATTCAATATTGAGTGATCAGCAAGCAGTATCTCCTCTACAACTGCAGGACTCTGACCCTTAACAGCCATGTGGAGAGCAGTTTGGCCCTTTTTGTCTTTGATGCTGACTATTCCTGGATCCCGGTCTATAAGAGCTTTTACTATACGAAGCATACCATACCTTGCAGTTGTATGCAATGCAGTTTTCCCATTTTTCCTCACTATTCTTATAGAACTGACATCGGCATCTAAAATGGCATTCACCACATCCAAATGATCTTGAGCAGCAGCTGAATAAAGAGGGCTGGTACTTGTGGAGTCACATGACTTACAAAGCTCAGGCCATATGATCAAAAGTTCCTTCACAATGTCTGAAAATAAAATTTTGAGCTGAGAAAAAACTAGGAAAGACATAACCCAGTGAATTGCATCGTCTCTAATGTGAAACACTATTCCCAATACAAATAAAAGAAATTTGACTAATTAATCACAGTCAGACTATAAGATTCAAGTTCGGAGCAATGACGTGAAACAAATTCTAAGTCAATAGGATACCTTACCAGGAAATAAATGGGAGAAGATTCATCTCCATCAATAGGATACCTTACCTAGCCGTTGTTATGGCTTTCGCATAAAACAAAAGCATATTTAGGCTCAAAACACAAAGATTTCCATCTCATTCTCAAGCTAATTTGAGAATCTACTGCACCAAACCAGAAAAGGAAGGTCTATGCCCATCTTCTTGCCAATTTCATACATCTTAGGGGTTGTTTAAACGAAGACTTTTTTTTCTTTTTTGGTGAGTAAAACCAAAGAATTAATGGCTCAATAGCAGCACATAATTTTCTTCGGGAAAAAAAGGGGGGGGCAACATCAAAATGATTTAGCTTTGGTTATCTGGTAAAGGAAACAAAAAAAAGAAAAGGAGCAATAACAAAATCCCAAAAGAAAAACCATCAAAAACCAAAAAATTCAAAAACTGAAAAACCCAATTCCAGCAAAAATTAAAAGCATAAAAGAGTGATAAATCAGAAAGCATCTCCAGGATACCCATCCAAAAAAACAGAAAGTGAAACCTTGATATACCACGACATCCTCATTTATTGAGCTAATGATAACACACTGAAATAATTTGAGGGAATTAAAAAAGTGAGTATTGCAGATTCGAAATATGTAACATAATCAGTGATAATACCAAAAGAATATTAAATATTAAACAGAAGCACAATTGGAAAATGAATTCGAAAGCAGCGAAAAGTCACTGAATCAGAAATATCATACCCAAGTGTCCTCGCTTGGCAGCAACATGAAAGGTGTTCAAATCAGACTTGGACCTGATCTTCACAATCTCCACACCACAGAACCTGATCAAGTAACTGAAAATCTCTTGCAAATTATTGTCTGCAGCAATATACAAAGCGGTTTCCCCTGCATCATTCTGCAATTTCATCAGATCAGAAACGGAGGAAGAAGACCCATCCGAGGTCTCGTTTTTGGTGAGCTTGTCCAAGAGCTGCTTCAGACACTCAAGGTCCCCAGATCGGACGGCGGAGAAGAAAGCTTGGTGGGTTATGAACCTTAGAGGCTTTGCCTCCATCATCAATAATTAGCTCAGCACTGTTCTCTCTCGATCTTTTGCTTTCTCTGATCTGGGTTCGAGTGGGGAGAAAACACCGAGTTTAACAGAGTAACCGGGTAAAAAGAAGAGATAATCAGAATTGAAATCTGCAGCAGGGTCTTGTTGTTTGCTTCTTTAGGTGAATGAATGATTGATCATGACAATGATAAATGCTTCTTTACTCTTTTTTAGTGGATATCATGTGGAGAGTTGACTGTGGGGAGCTCTATACACACGGATTCCTTTTACCTCAACATACAGTATCGTGTTTGTATGTATCCGTGCGATGCTGTCGATTCCTGCTTTTCTTCTGTCCGTCCATGGAAATTTATTTATATTTTTACTTTTATTTTCGTTCATCTTAATTAAATACATTCCTATTTTAGTTTCACTTTTTGTAAAACGTTTTTCTGATAATAATCGAGTAATGTTTGGAATATTGGCATCTAATTATGAATCTATATAATTACAAATGATAAAAATTCTCCTTAATTTTATACTCTCCTAGTTTAATAAAGGATATGTCTAAAATAGATTTCATATTTTATTTTTACAAGTTCAGAATATATATGCAAATTAATTCAACAAGGCTTTTAGAATTGTTGGGAACATAGTCTTAATTAAATTACTCAAAAAATTTAATTAAGAAATTATGGACAATTTGATAATCGAATAATAAAATTAATAAAAATTAGTAATTAATTAATGAATATTTTTGAGTGGACTACTCTCGTATTTCCTTTTCTTCTTATGATCATCTACGAAAAAGACTAGCACCAAATGACTTTCGTGAACCCGTTTTCTTACATCTTGGACGTCTCTTATTGCGGACCCCACACTCCCTGAAAGGACTTGAAAGCCGAGGACCCACAACACGACAACCGGCAATCCCCAATTTCTAGAATACCTTTATATTATTTTTATGAAATAAAAGTTAAATAAGATTATAATATTTATTAATACAAAAACTAATCTAATTATAATAAATTTATAAATTATAATTTATTAAAATAAGTATTATGATTTAATTACTGTTAATTTATATTAAAATTATACATTTTTAATAAAATTTTAATTCATAAATTTCAAATAAAAGTAAGATTCGAACGTGTACTCTTCATGGGTTAACAGGCTTGGGCCTTTTTACAATCAATTGACAAATAAATCCATGAACCGTAAGGAGACCCCCCTTTCCCCACCTCCATCGCAAACGTGCCTCCGCCAAACGTCTAGCCAAGAGGCACAAAAACCATGCACAATCCTAAGATTCGAACATGCCGGGATTGAAGGAACCACGCAGTAAGCTCACAGCCGGTAACAAGCTCGCTGGAAAGGCTGCGGCAGATCGTCAGATGATATGGAGTCTCTAAAGTCAGTGGGCACAGGCAGATACTGAGGGTAATAGAGGAAGACTTGCATCTTGGGGAAGATACCATTTATTACCATCAACATTATACATACGTCCTCATAAAGAATGGTTCCTGGGGAGTTCCATGTTGCCTCGCTCGCCTCTAAGCAATCAAGGTAAGAAGAGACTCCCCAGGAACCGCACGTAATAATGACGACAATTCTGATATTGATGGTCATAAATAGTATCTTCTCTAAGGTGCAATTCTTCTTCTTCTACCAGCTTCAGGATCTGCCTGTGTAGATCCCCTCCGCTTCCCCACCAATTCTGGAGACTCCATACCATCAACGATCCACCGTGTTTAACCTCCAGTTCTTCTGCAGTCTTTCCGACGAGCTTGTCACCGGCTTTGGCCTCAGACGATGATAACAAGACGTGATCTTGATGCAGTTTGGTTGCCATGCTCGATGGACAGAGAGAGAGAGATGAATAATCCAAAACCACTCCTATCATCGAATGTCGTGGGTACTGTACCTTTATTATTTATATACATGACGAAGCAATGAAATAGTGCATTTAAGGAGATCAAACCGACAAAAATTGTCGTGTATGTTAAATTTTTTTAACACGTGTGTTGCAGAGGAAGAGTTTGGGGAGAGCGTCATTCCATATCCAGAGATCTGAGGTAAGAATGAAATGGGGATGACGCTTGTGGATATACATACTTATATACGTGGTGTGTATGCTGTTTGTGTTTATGTATATGCATTTATGTATATATATTGACTATACATATACATATATAAACTTGCTGGTGGTTGTTTGTGACATTTAGCAGGAGAGTTGTGAAGATTTGAGTTTGGAAATCTTCACCCACTGTTTCTGCCTGACGGTCATTTTCCTTGGCTGAGATTTGGCGCGCTTTCGTTTTCCCTCTTTTCTAGATTTTATCGGGGATATGAGGTTGGCTACTCGAACAAAAGATTGTGAACGCACGTAGACATATATATATATATATACACATGTATATGCAGAGAGAGAGAGAGAGAGAGAGAGAGTAGCGTTTGTGCGTATACATATGTATATATGCATACATATGAACATATGAACTCAATATATGGATTTTTGCATGGAGAGAGAGAGAGAGAGAGAGAGAGAGAGAGAGAGAGAGAGAGAGAGTACAAAAGCCGACCCATCATTAAGCAATAAATAATACAGGCATCACTCACCCCCAAAATACTAATGTGTACATGAATTAGCTGATTTGCTTATTTTATGAAGCTGCTTAATAGCTGAAGGGGAAAATAAAGAAAAGAAAAAAAAAACAAACTGGATTTTCTAAATTTAATATCTCCCTCTAGCCCATATGGTTTCCAATAAAAAAATAACACAACCACATGGGCATTATCCCGTTTACAAAAGAAAAAAGAATAGGTTGGGTAGACCCAAGCTTTCTCGTCATCCAAAGCCAATCTTCACCATCCCAACCTCCATCAGTTTAATAAAAGAGACTACAACGATATACAATTTTACAAATTATAACACATCTCACCCACAACTGCCACATTTGCTGATATCAGTATATATCTGGCTTGACTAAAATGCTGACAGCTTTAACCATTAGAGTTGTAACTGCCCAGGGCCTCTCCTAGATGATCTTGACGATGGCCTATTTATATCTGATGTGGATGCGGGTCTCCTGGGCTCTTCTAGTTGCATCTCCTAAACATAAAGTACATTATGAGTAATTCCGTGTATGATATTGGCAACTGCTAAATACATTTTGAAACTTTTGAAGAGTACCATGGTCCCCATAACCACAGTAAATGACAAACGAAGAACCAAAGAATGGTTCATGCCAAATATATGGACTGGAGTTGACTTGCAAAACATTACAGGCCATCCTTAATTTAACTAAATTGCTGTTATGTACATAGCA